CATATCTCACAAAGGAATAGAAGAAGCCAGAGGCCAGTGAAGAGCTACAGAAATAAAACAGACAAGAGTTTCAGACAGGTTTTTTTAACTCCAAGGAAGCTGATTTTTATATATGCTCTAATATGAATAGCATCTTTTAAGGAGGTGAAATAACAGCACAGGAAAAACATGACTTCTGAAGGACTCTTACATTTGGGAAGGCCATGTGGAAGAGAATACCAGTGAGACAACTTGAAAGTATGGATGTCAATTGAAAGAAGCAGGTCTTAAAAACAGGTCTTAGTGGGCTAACAAGAACCTTCTGCAGTTCAATGAGGACAAGTGCAAGGTCTTGCACCTGGGTAAACACAATGCAGGAGTGCAGCACAGGCTGGGGCACAGCTCTGTGGAAAGGGGCCTGGGGGGCCTGGTGGACACAGGCCTGGTATGAGTGAGCAGCATTCAGCTGTGGCCAAGAAAGCCAACAGGGTGCTGGGGAACACCAACAAGGGCATCACCACCAGAGATAAAGATGTCATTGTCCCAGTCTACTCAGCACTTGTCAGTCTACACCTGATACATTTTGTCCAGTTTTGGTTCCAGCTGTACAACAAATATGTGGACAGGCTGGAAAGGGTCCAAAGAAGAGATGACCCGAGGACTAGGAAGCTGTGTGAGGAAAAGCTGAGAGAGCTGGATTTGTTCAGCCTGGAGAAAAGGCGGCTCAGGGGAGACCATATCACCATGTGCCAGTATTTAAAAGGTGGCTATAAAGAAGATGGAGAATCCCTTTTTACAAGGTGTCACATGGAAAAGAGTTGGGGTGATGGGCACAAGATACTCCTGGGGAGATTCCAATTGGAAACAAGAGGAAAATTCTTCCCAGTGAGAACAATCAGCCATTGGAATAATCTGCCCAGGGAAGTGGTGGACACCTTTAAGGCTCATCTGGACAGGGTGCTGGGACATCTTGTCTAGACCGAGCTTTTGCCAAGAAAGGTTGGACCAGATGATCCTTGAGGTCCCTTCCAAGCTGTGTTTTTAGGATTCTAAAAATGTGTGAAATGATCACAGGCAGCAAAAATTAAACCACAAATGTTGAGCTGGGTAGGATTATTTTGTGTGTGTGTGATGGCAATTTCCTTTTAAAAAGAAAGTAGTTAGCCCAATATCAAAATTAGGATGACTGCAGTTCAGCCTGGAGGATAGGGAATAGCTAGAAAATCTGGAATAGGATGGGATGCTGAAGTACTGAAACTACCAGCTCTTTGAAAAGTTTGTTACTACTTATTGTTAAACCTAAACCACCAGCAGCATTCCTTAGCTCTTCATTTTGTAAGACTGCAATATTTCAACTTTTCATTTCAATTTATAAACAATTAAAATGCTAAAAATATTTTCATTTTGTAACAGATATGCCAAAAGAATTCTGAGTGGATTTGTAAGTTTTTGTACTTCTGCTGTTTAAAGAAGGACATTTAAATAGTGCTTCTATCTGTAGGAGAGAAGCACAAGGCGGATGAAACCCTAGTACGTAGCTGTATACAAAGATATGCTCGAGGATGTTCCTCCTCAAAAACAGCTCGTGTGTCTTCAATTTATTAAGAAAAAAACCCCTCTGACTGTACTTCAAATTCCCACACCCCAGGAAGAAAATGTGGAGAGGGAAGAGACAGCACAGATTTTGTAATACCTACAGGATGGAACAAAGGAGACATCTTCCTTTCGGCAAGAGCAAGGACCACGAGCAAAAGTCAAATTTCACTTTCACCTGCTTTTTCATGCCCTTTTGAGGCTACTTGGACCCCTCAGACCACAAGAGCATCAAGCACAGTGGCAAGAATTCCCCTTTACCCAACTACTTTGGTCAGTGACTGTCTTGAGTTGTAGCCATGCTAACTATCAGAGCTATGCTGAAAGCAGGACAGCGAAGCTGCTCATGAAACACGTAAAAGGAAATTGGCTGTGTAACTGAATGTTGGCAGGCTTGAGCTGCACTGCCTTTGCTGTTAAGACTCGTTTATCTTCGCGGGTTATCTGCTAGAACTGCAGCCGAGTACGCTGTGCTAATTTTCTCTGCTAGGAAAAATAACGCAGCTCTTGGAATCCAAACACAGCACAATTTTCATTCATTTATTTGTCTCCAATTTGTACTTTACCCATCTAATTACAGTAACAATTAAGCTGGAGAATTTCTGTGTTTCCACAGGTACCCACTCCAATCCACTGAAATGGTACCAGAGGTTATGCAGGGAACCCAGGTCTGTAATAATGACCTTTCTATGTTATCCAGCCAAATTGTACACCCAAAAGAAAATATATAGTGTAAATCCTCTCCCATATTTTTATGGCAACTGTCTGCTTTCCCAAGCAACTGGCATGCTGTGCAGGCTCTACAACACAATCTGTGTCATTACCTTCATACCAAATTCCCTACATATCTGCAAAAACCTGCATGTATGTGATTTACCTTTCCAGGATTATCATGGATTTCAACATCTGAAATCTGGTAACTCTATAATTACTCGAAAAGGCTGCAGATTCTATATTATCCTTACACATTAGTATTTCACCTAATGCGAACTCTGATTAAACAGAATTATTGATATCATTACCAGGAAGTGTAAGTTTGAATTTGCTTTGTTGCTAGGGCTAAAATAACACAGGAATGAATTAACCATAGCTGCTTGTGTCAGTAAAGTGTATGGAGTGTTTCTAGCATAACAGAGATGTGTCATCATAGGAAACACTGACATAAAATAGAAAAGAACAAGCTACAGGAAAGCATTGCAACTGAATACAAAGGAATGGCTAAAACATGTTGGCTTGAGCTCCCCCAAAATCCAACAAAAATACATGATAGATGCTGTGCCATATTTAATGGAAGCTGACTGAGCAAAATATAGTAGAACACATTAAAAACAGGGGGGGTTGGAACTAGATAACATTTAAGGCTCCTTCCAATCCAAACCAGAGATTGAGGACCTGTGTATATGTCGTTTGAGCAAGATGCTTTCTACATATTACTGTACTGAACATGTCAGGCTTGTTATTCTTTTACTAGCCACGTTGCCTGGTTGTGAATTACAGAAAATCATCATTTAGCACAATTCACCTTTCTCACTTCAAATGTCTGTATGTTTTTTCGTGCTCTTAAGGGTTTTTTTCCAATGGAATTCAAGGTTATAATATGCACCAGCTACAGAAACAGTTTCACTTCAAAAGGGTAAAAGCAAAAGCAGAATTTTCAAAGTGAGGAAAACAAAGGAATGTTGGATTTTATAGGTTATCCTCCCTGATGAGCTGCCTCTGTGACTGCAATAAGTGCATTTAGTGAAATAACAGTGCCCTCTAGTGCTTTCAGTTAAGCATATTGTTCAACCTTCTCCCTTTTCTTAAATAATGCAACATATACTAAATCACCACATTCATTTTGAAAAAGATGTAGAATAAAATGAATGTGTTAACTTAGTTATCAGTTCTTAACAGGCTGATTTTTCCTCCTGATGTCCAATTAAGATACTGAGTATAAACTCCACAGATTAAATACATATACCTACATACGCATATGTGTAAGTAGTACTTAATCACTGCAAAAAATGCCAATGAATAGTTGGATGATTTCTCTGTAGCTTCAAAAATAATATTACCTTGTCTCAATGAACATCAATAGTATTTTTCCAAGAGTGCAAAAATGAGAAATAACATGGCACAAATTTCAAAAACAATTTTAAGAATGGCACGCGAGCCAGCCAAAAAACTTTAATTTCTAAACTGAGCATTTCTGCTAAAGAATCTCTTACTGAAGATTATGAAATATCAAGATATGTCTTTCTTACAAAGTTAATAGCACTTTCAAGTGAAGCAGATGTTAAATATCACAAAATCCAAAATAATTACCAAGGTCAGCTCATTATCTGTGACTCAGAGGTAGTTAAAAGAAAAATCCAACCAGGAATAAGCTCTTGATAGAATATTAGTATCTACTTTGAACATTCAGAGACTTTTGAGATATTGAATTTTCTTTGACTGTTATGAAATTTTGATTTTCCTTTTTTATAACTTTTATAAGGAATGTTTAACTACATGACAGTTTTTCACATGACCAGAACATATTTTTCTTATGTCTGATTAAGTAAGCAGTATTACAAAAGTATACTTATAGATCCTTTCGAAGAGGCATCTTCCTCTGATGCAAATTAGCTTTTCAGAAGCCCATTCTTAAAACTATTACTAAATTATTATTACTTATTTTAAACTATATATACTTATCAGTTTGGTTCATAAAAAACGGATCTTAAGAAGCTAGCTGGACCCATAAGATGTAGGTTTAGACCTGTAACAAAGTTTATCTCACCCTGCAACTGAAATTACAACATATTACCTATTTAGGTATGTTTATGGATCAATACACCTGGTGACTTATATTTAGAACTGATTCCTTGGAGGGCTGCCATGTAAGATCACTTTACCTACAAGATATTTTTTGATATCAGAATACTGCAGAGTCTTTATTTTCCCAACAAAAGGTACGTTATATGTGGAATGCTGTGGAGGGGACAGGTCAAAATTTTCCTCAATTCTCTAACAGACATCATCAGTTCTGCAAACCCTTTGTAGTCATAATGTAAAGCTTGGGCTGTGGTTTCTGCATGCCACGTATATAGCTTATGTTCATGTAAAACTCAAGCTTTTTTCATAGACATTTTAGAGCTCCTCTAGCCCCCCAAGTATGTTTTGGTGTATACTGGCCACTCTGTGTTCTTACCATTTCCTACTTTCTTTCCCGTGGCATTTCCACACATTTAAAGTTGTACCTAATTGTGCAGAACTACCACTAAACTGGCATTGTCAGGCTTACATAATGATGATGTCACCTCTTGTGATCATGTTAACTGTTACCAAATAAAGCATTTCATATGGTATTACAAAATTATACTGTACTTTACACACATGATTTATTCACGTTTTCATTCTGTAACAACCCTCAGTGTAGCTCATATAGGAATTACTGTACTTACTTTTGAGATCTAAATTTCTGGCTCCTGCTGTGCTCTGTGTTGTGATTTTAGTGTCGATCTTTACAGTGTGGAGATTGTTGGTATCCCTTGATATCATCACATTATGCCACTGGTTGTCATTCAGAGGTTTATTGGAACTTCCTTTGATGAGATTTGCACCATTCCCCAAGTCAAATACATAGTGTAAATACCTGGGCAAAGAAAAAAAATTGGAAAAGTTTCCTTTTTCTTTACATAGCAAGGGGGCACTAATTAATAGGTCTAATATTTCCTATTTCCTTGTACACCTCAGTAGTGCTGGTAAAACCGGAAGATAATCAACACCAGATGTGGAAACAACCTTAATTCAGAGAAATCACCATTTGTTTAGATGAGCTGAGCTGCAGTCCCAAGTTTCTGGAAAGTAACAAGTGCTCCATGCACCAACACATGCATACATACGTAGAAAGAGAACAAGGAGGAGGCTATTAATAATACTTCTTTGTGGTAAACACTATAGAAGTGATACCTATTATTTACTTTCATATTGTTCAGGCATCTAGCTTCATCTGGAAGAAAGAGTCACAATAAAGCATGAAGTTTAACATGAAGAAACACTCGTCAACCATATATGCCCAGTCAAAGATGTACATCCTAAACTTTCCCTGGTATTTCTCCTGTATATACATTTTGAATAGACTGGGTTTGTCATGATGCTAATCCATACATACCCTTTTACTAATTCAACCACAATGAAATCATTTCCATCGCCACTGTTATAAAGTATCAATCCATCCAGAGAGGTTGTTTTGAACTGGAAAAAAAGGTGCATAGATGTATATGCTTGTAGCGTGGCCAACGCAACATAACTTGCTTTTGTTTTAAAGGTTACAGGGTCTGCTATGATGTTCCTGAACCCAAATCTTGCATTTAGCTCACAATAATCGATGTCTCCATTTTTACACAAGTCAATGTATGCCATGCCATTAAATGTAAGGCTCTGGAGATGCCCAATGAAATTAGAAGGCACAGAAGACAGGTAGCGCCGTTCTGTTATTATTCCTGTTTCTATGTTGTGGAATTCCAGTCGTGTGTGATCACCAGCCATTTGACCTTTAAACAGTAACAAGAAAACACATGTTAGCATCTGAAATGGGAGGTCAAAATGCACATCATGTGATTAAGTATCTGCATCAATTTCACACTTTTCAGAACAAGGCCAACTCTTGGCTCCAAAGAGAATTCTTCTAAATTCATCCAAACATCCAGGAGCCTTTCCACTGAGTTCAGTATGTTTGGTTAATGCCAACAGCAAGATTTCTAATTGGAAACATACCAACTCACAATACTAAACCACCAAATCCCTCACTTTAGTTACAATTAACCACACATGGTTAATACATTGTGCTATAAGCAACTGCAATTAATTAACACAACACGAAAATCACAAAGGCAAATTTCAGAGCTAAAACTACATCATCAGAGTTTCATGGGATAACGACATAACAGTTTGGGGGATATTTTTGCATGTGTTTTGCTTAGAAGTGCATCATCCAGCAAGAGGAAGGAAGGATTCTGTTTAAGCTGGTTTAGGTATCTTAATGCTGGCCCTGCTGCAAACCCCTGCGCTGCAAGGGTGAACAGTTGCTTGAAATCAACTAACTTTGTACCATGGGGATAAATAGCTTGAGAAGGGGGAAGAGCCTTAGAGACGGACAAAGCAAAAAGTCTGCAGTGAGGGTGTATGTCTTCTTATCCTGAAAATAGAAAGTGACTTGTTCGCATCAGAAAGGCAGCCAAACCGAAACCTCACAGCTAACTTTGAACCTTTCTTTGTCATGCAAAGACTCCTGCGTAGCAGAAAGCCTGAAATTTGCTGACTATACAACTAATCGGAAGGTAAGGATCAGCACTGCCAGGGTACACTGCATACAAGTCAGCTAAGTCTTTAAGCTAGTTACTAAATACCTGACCCAGCAAATCAAAACTGTGTCCACTGAAGAGTTCCCTTTTCTAAAAGAGCTTATTTTTTTTTTCCATTATTATTCTAAAGAAGTAGGGCAGTACTATCACAAGGCTGATTCATGGTCACACTGTGTGGGTATGATGACAAAACAGCTAATAATTACTAATCAATTTTACCACTTAATCTGCATTTTGCAAATCATGGCCTAGATTTCCCAGTTCCTTAACTGTTTTGTCTCTCAGGGAGTACGAAGAAGGTGAACAGCAGACCTAGCCAAGCTGGAATAAATACTGGCATAAAACTGCCAGTATTTATTATAAAATATGCCAATAATACAGGTTACCACAGTTGCAGTGCAAAGCTTCCAATATTTCCGGTGGTCCTTCCCTGAATGCATTATTCCAAGAGGAGAGTGTGAGCTGAACGTCTAAAGCAGTGGTACAGAAAAACCTGAGGCAGGCTTAAACAGCTGTACCTTCAAAGGTTTTATAAGCAGGTGTCTGTGTATGTGTGTGAGAACAGGAGAAAAATAAGGGCAAGATAAATGTAGATATATTAGGGCTTTCCCCGGGGAGATGGATTCATTAACATGTTAAGTCACAGCATTGAGATATAAATACAGGTAACAGTGAAATTAGAGCAAAAATAGGTCTGCAAGCTTTAACACCATCCAGACCACACACACAAATTGCTCTTATACTTTACGATAAATATTTATAAGCAGTTTACTTAGCTTCAGGATATGTCCTATATAAGAATTAACTCTACTGGAGACAGACTTCTGACAAGGGCCCTGTAGGGACAGGACAAGGGGGAATGACTTTGATCTGTCAGAGGGGAGATGAGACATTAGGAAGAAGTTCTTCCCTGTGAGGGTGCTGAGGTGCTGGCACAGGGTGCCCAGAGAAGCTGTGGCTGCCCCATCCCTGGCAGTGTTCAAGGCCAGGTTGGACACAGGGGCTTGGAGCAACCATGTCTAGTGGAAGGCGTCCCTGCCTGTGGCTTGAGGGGGTTGGAACTGGATGAGCTTTAAGGTCCCGTCCAACCCAAACCAGTCTGTGATGCTGTGATATTGATGTCATTGAACACCCTCAGCATTTGCAATCTCAGTTATGTGGCTGAGCACTGCAAGAGGCTCCTTAAAATCCAACGAGAGTCACCTTGGTGTTCTTGTTTCTAAACATTAGTTATGAAGATACTCCTTTGCCTGACATACAAACAAAGGTGGGTTCTTCCATGCAGTAGTGAGTCAGGGAGATGTTTTGAAAAATGCCAAATCTGTAACTTTCTGCAAGGCCAAGAGCTGTGTATTGGATCACAGACAGAGAGCTGAAGATCATGGTTTAGAGAGGAACATTATGTATTCTAGCCTTATATCTTAAAATGGCATTGCATAAATGCCATGGCAAAAATCCACAAAGCTTTGGCCTGTAGCACTGTATCCTCACTGCATTAAATGTACTTCTTGAGCATAGTAATAAAAAAGTTCCAGACTCTGGGCTCATATCCCAAATCTCTAACATTTCAGTTGTACAAACATGCTAACAGGACTTGAGACTTCACACAATGTTCCAGTTATATGCAAGTACAGCAATGAAGAAAAAGAGAGAGAATGAAGTCTGAGCTTATGAGGTTGGGTTTGGGTTTTTTTTAACACTTGTCAGGTAGGTGCACAAAATGCATAACCTGGTGCAATGCTATGGGACATCAGAAAAAGATTTTCTGTTCAACCTCACTTGCCAGAATTTCAAGTGTCTGAGATATTTTACATTAGACATTATGAAGAAATTATTCCCTCTGAGGATGGCGAGACACTGGCACAGGGTGCCCAGAGAAGCTGTGGCTGCCCCATCCCTGGCAGGGTTCAAGGCCAGGGTGGACACAGGGGCTTGGGTGACATGCTCTAGTGTGAGGCATCTCTGCCCCTCCCGGCCTGTGGCAGGGGGTTGGAACTAGACGAGCTTTAAGGTCCCTTCCAAACCAGTCTGTGATTTTGTGATTCATATCCATAAGCTAGGTATTCTTTCTATCACTCAGCTATAGTGACCTCCTTTAGCCCTCTTTTATTTTCTATACATATCCAGAAAACAAGATCCATCAGGGCTGCAAGTATTTAAATTCCTCTATGCTGAATAAAATTTCCAAAAGCACCTCTATGCCTTCCACTGAAAGCCAGTTATGATTCTGAAAGATATTATTCATCTATGCACAAATTAGGCATTCAAAGATAGCTAAGCTCAATCCATTGTGATTGTAGGTAATATTTCATAACCTGCAAAAAATGTCAAGTCAGGCTGAATTTTTTAATGGCTTCCCCTCCACCTGAAGCTTTCTGGATCTTTTTTTTTTCCATACATGACACTGGAAATGGAATCAAAAAAGGAAAACACATGATCACTGGGAGAAGCTGAAATTTTGGAAAGTCCATTTTTTCCTCGTGGTCCCTTTAAGATTATAACACCCTTTCACATGAATAACTACCAGGTTATATTTTAATCACATTTCTTATTGTTGGGACATCTGAAGAAAAGCTCTAAGCAGTTTAGAGCAAGAGCACGCCAATCTGTTATAGCAGCTCTTCAACTACCCCTTCAGGAAATTCAAAGCTACTGCAGATTAAATTGCATTGTGTACATTTGAAACTTCAGCTCATGAAGGCTTTGGCAACATACTGTGTTGTGATTAAAGAAAAAAGTCTCGGTGCTACAAGGCAATAAAAATTTTCCATGTAGAAAACGTAATACTCCTGGGACTAACAGTAGATTTCCCATGTTATCAAACTTCTAAGTTCTCTCTAGCTCCTTCTCTCATGCCAGTTCCCTCCTCACTGATGGAGTCCACAGATTGGCTACACAGCTTCCTGCAGGGAGCTTTTTATCCGTCAAAATACTGGGATAACTCTCTCCCCTTGGATGAAGAACATTAAACATCTGTGGGTTATGCAAACGTAGGCAACTTCCAACTCAAAGAACTGAGAGGGATTTTGAGTCAGCTGGTCAGCTGCTTATACAGATACTAGCCTGTGGAAGAATACAAGTTTTGGACCAGAAAGTTGGACTCACAGGTAACGCTTTCGCTTGGTCAGGAGGCAACTGAAGACACTCACCGGTTTTAACAGCTAGATAGTTCAGTTGGAAGGGACCTACAACAATCACCTAGTCCAACCAACTGCCTGACCACTTCACGGGTAAAGCATGTTTTAAGAGCATTATCCAATTGCCTCAAACACTGACAGGCTTGGGGAATTGACCACCTCTCTAGGAAGCCAGTTTCAGAGTCTCAGCTACTTACTGAGATAATATTTGATAGCAACTACAGTTATCTGTAACTGAGAGTCATCGCAACAACTTACAGTCCTGCATTCTTTACTTACTACTTCACCTGACTAGACCATGTATGATAGAAACCTCCCGTCTGTATTCTAATCCTTCATATATATTTTGAACTGAGCAGCTGGGACTTAACCCAGAGTTGGTAACAGCACTTTTTAGTGGTTTTGTAACCTACAGTATTTGTAACTAAGAAATCTGCCATGAGGAGCCCAAGAAATATGCATTTGGTTAGGGATGCCTTATTTGATTCAGAACTAAGCAGCTCCCTCTAACTAGGAAACATCTCAAAGGAGCCTTATTATCTGAGCTGCAGTTGAAACAGCAGGCTGATGTTTTTCAGTATAGTTCCTCCAATACTATATATTTTCACAAAAATACTAAGTGGTTTAGGTCATGACCGAAAGCATTAAATATACAGACTAAATTTTTGCTTCACTTCTGGAAGAGCTATTGATCATTTCTAATGGTAGAAAACAGGTTTTTGCAACTATTCTAATACACAGAAATTATTTTTCTACCTGTGACATGGTCTTCGGTGTTGTGCTGAGGTGAAAAAGGACTACTAATGAAGGGGCTTTCCTTTTAAGAACCCATTAAAATTGTTATCATTTTAACGCAGCTTAGAACTAATGATAAAAGCTATTTAATACTACATGAGAACAAAGGAAAATACTAAATAGCTAATACAAAATTAGGTATATTGCATTGTGCAGGGAATCAAGGCCAGAAGCCGGGTCTGTTGCTATTAACAACACATATTTAGACCTTGTCTTTAACAGAACAAAATTAAAGTCTCCTTTATTGTCATTTCCGATAATATATGTATAGGAATATATTGCTAACATCTGCTAGCATTTGTGTCATGTTTATTCTCCCATCCCAGCTGCTATTTTAGTATTTGAGAAAAACCTGTTGCCTAACATTTAATTATGGAGGGCAGCGGATGCAAGATTTAAAACACAATAGAATATCCCTCAAACATTTATTAAATTCCTTCTCACAGCAATGTCTTAGAGTTGAAGCTTAGAATAAATTTAGTGTGTTGCCAAAAGCATTTTACTTGCCTTCTCATTAGTGATGTATCAAATCACTTCTCTCCAATTACTGTATAAAAACATTCATTTAAGTCAGCATGAAGGTTTTTATTAACTCCAATGGCAATGTTAGAGTAACATTAATATCAAGTATAATAACGCACTTCTAGTACCAGGATTTCAAGATGCAGAAAACGGATTTTGGATCTTAAGTAAAGAAAAAAAAAAGCATCTGCTGCTTTCAGATAAAGGCATTTTACTTCTGTCATGTTTTGGTTTGTGCTTCCCCCCAGTAACAGAGTCCCAGTGCCACGCTACCTGTCACGGCCTGCTGGTCATCCACCATTAACTTTAAACTCTTTCCTCGCCGAACCACCCGCACTGTGTGCCACTCATTATCATTGAGGTTATAGCCAGCAAAAAGGGTTTCTGGACCTTTGCCTGTAGGATATGCCAAACAGTCATTATGCAATCTTTACATCAGTTTACATGTGAACCTCACAGAGAAAGAGAAATACAGAGAGACTGGCTGGGCAAAAGTTAAAACTCACCCAAAGTGACATCAAGCAAGAAAATTACAAAGTATAAGCAAACCTCAAAATAGACAGCTACTATCTAAAACTATCTTCTATTACATATTTAACTATAGAAATGTATCGTATATGCACATTTAAGGAACCAGGTTGTCATAAATCGGCACAGTCAACATGGATTTAGTTACGCACTTCCCAGTCATACATAAATCCCATTTTAAAAATGGGATTATTGCAGTCAGAACTTCAGCATGTTCTTGCAAGATTGGATTTTTGTTCCTTCATTAAAAACAGGTCGGGGGAAAGGTGTGAGTGGCAAATGTGGGTGCATGTGTGTTAGATTTTTCTTCATCTATGTCAGCTTCTCGGCCTTTGCTTATTAGAACTTCTCAGATAAACTAATAATTTATCATACACATGACTCATTAACATCCAGATCCAGTGCTGCCTGATGTCAGCAGATCTTCAAACCAGACTACCCTTTTTCATTTCATGGATACCTTTTCTGTAACCTGCTATTTTTGTTAGCAGTACAACAAACACTTTTGAAGCAAATATAATTCTACACACAGCACAAAGTACTTGCAATAGCTGCAGTAACCACAAATCCAGGAAACAGGGTATCTTTAATATCTAGGACAAAAACTTCTCGGAAGAAAATTATTATGGAAATAGTCCCTTACACTGTTGAACAAGAAAGAAAGCAAGAAAAATCCTGGCTATGAACTATCATTGACAGGAGTAGGAGACTGACCAAACACTGAACCAATAAGTCAAAACTTACATGCTCACACCTACATAGTGACTGTCCAAAAGGTCAGTCTGAAGGTAATCTACAATTACAAAGTACATTCTTGCAACAGAGAGATCTCCCTTGGGCTGTTTTTCAGGCAGAATAAAGGCTACTGATGACTAAAAGAAATGTAGCATTTGACACAAAACATTAGGGTTACAATGAGGCAGACCATTCCCTCCACCACACCCTCCCAAGTGACTGCACCCCACATGTCAGCCTTCTTTCAAATGTGACATGCCACTGGCTCTGAAACTCTCACACACTTCTTTTTGGATTCTTTTCCACCCAGTGCAGGCTGACTGTGATGGATGAGGTCTGTTAATAAATGGGTACTATATAACATTGCCTAAAATCAAAGCCTCTCTGGCTTCAGGACTGCACACAGGGAAAAAGAGACTAATAGTTTGCTGTAGCTGTTCAGCATATTGAACAGTTTTCCTCTCAGGCTTTTTCCATTTTCTTATCAGCATTTTTCTTAATTGTTGCTGGTTTATTGCCCTGCTTTTATATGCAATCTTTGCTATTTTGAGCATGTCAGGGGATCTCCAGGAATAAAAATACTAGCTACAGCAAAGGCAGTAAGATCCCAATAACATCATGTTGCTTTCTCTACGCCTTAGTATTGACACTAGCCTAGGAAAGGTGTGCAAACTCAGCAGAAGGAGACATGTATGTGCTCACTCATGCCAACTACTTGAATTGTTCTGTTTCTTACCAATTTACTTTCTTTGACAATAGAGAGACAAGGTTTGCATGAAGTTCAACTCAAGGGAGCATACAACGATGCCAGAAAGGGACTCTTCATCAGGGACTGTAGTGACAGGACAAGGGAGAATGGGTTCAAACTTCAACAAGGGAGATTTAGGTTAGATACAAAGGACAAATTCTTCCCTGTGAGGGTGCTGAGGTGATGGCACAGGGTGCCCAGAGAAGCTGTGGCTGCCCCATCCCTGGCAGTGTTCAAGGCCAGGCTGGACACAGGGGCTTGGAGCAACCTGCTCTAGTGGAAGGTGTCCCTGCCCGTGGCAGGGGGTTGGAACTGGATGAGCTTTAAGGTCCCTTCCAACCCAAACCAGTCTGGGATTCTGTATTCTCTTTGGATATGGTAATAAATATGCAGTGAATACTGCTCTTTAAGCAATTTTAAGCAATACATTAGGTGGTTCAGTGGAAGCAATTTCCAACTAGATTTTGGGGACAAGCGAAGGATTTTAAAAAAATGCTTAAATAGTACAAATCTTAGTGAGTCAACAGACCTGTCTAGAAAAACGACACTTACCATTGTTTTAATTGTTAAAACTTGCTAGTCCCATTCCTCCTTTCTTTTTAAATAGTTGAACTACTCAGTCTCCCTTATCCCACAGCAGATCTCTAAAAGACCTAGAAGCACATGCAATTTTCATTTCTTCTCACATTAACAGCCCTCTGTAGGGTTCCATTCACGTAGAGGTGCCTCAGTGTATATAAATATCAAATCTGACTTGGCTGCTCACATTTATACAGGCAAGTATGTCTACTATCTTTTATTGGTTAGGGACTTGTAAACTCTTCTCGTAAAATAAAATGTATGTTTGCATGTCTGCATCAATCTGTTCCCTTTGCAAGAATATTCTGACTAAAAAAGAATCAGGTCAGAACTACCTGTAATATGCCTTTGTTCACACTGCACATGGTCCAAAACTGGATTAAGGGCACCTGTGGTAAAAAGGCTATGAAAAGGACAAATCTGGGTGTAACACACTACGGGACACTGTATTGAAAGCAGTCCTAGCCTTGTAGAAGCTAGCTACCTTGCATGGAAAAGTGGCTTTTCCTTCTTGAAGCCCATCTCTTAACAGGGAAGAGGGGTTTTGCATTGTCATAGAGAGTACAAGGAACTACAAGTAGCAAGACCCAGTGTCCAGCCGTTGTGCATGGGCCTGTCATATCACGGTGCCTCTCTGCAAAGTAGCATGGTAGCTGGAAAGGTGGATGAGGCAGGACAGATGCCAAGCATTCCTGTAGAAAACGCAGTGCTTGGGCTGCTTCCTGGCCAAGAACAAGTTTTTGAATTATAAAAGTACTGAACATGCATGTGAGCAATGTATCTAGAAGAACATTTTCTAAATGCTTTAACACAAACCATGTAGGAATCCCTTGATACTCCACAAGAGTACAAGGACTACAGAAGAAAAGTCTCAACGTATTTAGTTAAATGGCACTGGCCAACCCCAAACCTCAGACTTTCAAATATACTGACCTGTAATTAATTTCAACATCAGATTATTGAGATCATAACAGTTCAGACCCTTCTTTCAGCCAAGTTTATAGTGAATCTAATATAAATCTAAATCTACTAAATGATTGTCTCCCCAGCCTTTTTTCTGACTTTACACAGATTTGATCCCACTTCATTGAAATCACACCAGCAGAAGGCGCTGTTGTATTTAAATCAGAATTGGCACACTGACACTTTTTTTTGGGGACGTGGCGGGCTTTTTTTTACCCTCTTTTCTTTAAAAACATTACATATCTGCCACGAGAAGAGATGAAAAGAAAAGAAAGAGCCCTAATTTAAGTCTGTTTTCTACGGATTGATACTACTCTTCCAACTTTATGTCCTTCCACTCCCATTTCCCACAGTGTCCTTCCCCTGGAACTCACCTAGACGAGACACAGTTCTTCATGAACCCAGCACTTGCTCACTCTGAGCTACTGATTCTCTCAGATACTAATACCTTAATCATAAACCTTCCCTTCCAGAGACAAGTTGTAACTTGCAAAAATCCACTAAGTATCTCCTCTTGCATAAGTATGAAATTTATTATCAACATCTATGTTCAGCTCTTTTCCTATTTTAAAGTCTTAAATAACTAGTAGATTTTATGCATCCCTAGAGTGAATAGATAGTACCACATAAAAAGTAAAGGCACTTTTATGGCTCCTACAATTTGCCCATAGTCCATCATGCCAGTAAAATCTGCAGATTCATTTAAAAGCAGGTAACTTCTTGTACAACCACCTTTTTACATGGGAAAATACAGACAGCCAAATAGAGGTACAAATCTTGATGATGCAATTCATTATGAGCTAGGATATATAAATGTTAAGTCCCAAATATCCTAAGTTATAGCCTTACTTATGCACCCAAAGTTCAGTTTACTTTGTTTTCAGCATCTCAGCTAGAACTTAATTGCCTTTGGTCCTTTTTAAAGTTAAAGGAATAAAGCGTGGACCTCAAAAAAACCCACCAAAACCAACACCCCCTGATTTTCAGTGTGCTGAATATTCTAAGTGTTCTCTGGGGATTCCTATTCCTTTTACTATCTTGTGAGGAACCTTTTCAGCCTAATTCAAGCACTGAAAATTCAAAATGGCCTGTTAACTGATGGTAACACACTTTATCTCTTATATATATCTATCCTATGATACTTAGATTGGATCTTTTAACCAACTACTCAAACAGAAGATTGTAAAAACCAAGTTCGTTACTTTGAAACAAGACACTACCTTTTGGCATTGTACCAAAACACATTCAGAACTAGTTGTCTGAACCCAGCACAGGAACTATTACTGCCTCTTACAATGCCATCCACCAAAGCATATACTAAAACGCCACACAAACTTGCTTGGAGCTTTCAATTCTGTGATCAAAAGTCAATATAAAAAATGAAGTATCAAAAGAAGGACAATGTAGATAAAGACTAGCAAGGCAGACTGGACGGGTCAGCAAATGCTATACTAACCTACAGAATCTGAGTTAGTTACAGACAAATAACTACTGTCTATTTATTGGTCTGTGCAAGAAGTATCAGTGTTTCCAGCCTAGCTTTCTAACAGATAGCTACGCAGACTGCAGCAATCAATATTAGGTGGCATTTCCTGTTTGAAATTTGAGAGAATATGTGGACAAAAGGACAAAATCCTGCCCAAGTTAATAGAGAATATCGCTTTGAGGTCTGGGATGCCAGGATTTCAGATGGTGTCTTACAACTGGAGTAATATATACACAGCAAGCTGAATTGGAAAGTAAAGACATATAAGTGGCTCTGAAAGACACATCAGAGTATTATTACAAATACATGATACAGAATCAGAGAACTCTGTGCCATCTTTATATCTATTCTGCTTTC